ACTTATTTAATTATTATTTTCATCTACTGATTTTAATCATTCTTAAATAAAACATGATGTTTTGCATAAGGATTTGTTTGTTAAAAATCTTGAATCATATCAAAAACGTTATTAACATGAAATTTTTGAGCTATATTTTATGATATTCTAAATTATTTAAAGTGAATTTTCAACTTTTGTAATTTTGATTTCTTATTTGTAGATCAGATATCAATCGTAAAATAAATTCAATACCATAATAAGTTTAGATAGAAATATTGATAAAAAAATTTGCAATTTTTATCTTGCTCTTGGTAACAAGTTGAGTAAATATTCTGCTAAATGCTACTATTTTTTAATGAATGAAAAACCACAAATCTATAAGAATATTCAAAAGGAGAATTAAGATTAATTATTAATTAAAATCAACATTTTCAATGTAAAATTTATTATCTTCTTATTTTATCACTGTCAACATTTATGTTCTTATTATGCGATAGTTATTTGCATCCAAGTTTTGAAAACAACATCATTTCTTGGAACTATGATGGTACTCTAAAGTAACCTTATCTAAAGCTCATGATTGCTTTCCTTCAAACAGTTATTGTTAGAAAGTTGCAAAATTCAAAGCATCAAGCTGGAGCTCGGTTGCAAAACCTGAAAGCGTTGCAAAAAGTTTTGATGTAGAGTAGCAAGCAAACTCTTCACAATGGAAGAGACTTGGTATTTCCGGGTCATGTTTTTCTTCACGTTGGCAATTGTTGTTGCTCATGTTTGATTGTTTTTTACACTTGCACCGTGGCGACTGTAACTTCTATGTGCATATCTTATGTGTTGCAAACGTCAAATGTGATGCCATGGAGGTTGATCCAAACGATTGATATGTAAATATAAGTCATAGTTTTTAAAATATTTTGTAAAAATTATTTATAAAAAGAAAAATGTTAATGGATTTCTAAAATATGTCAATTTTTTATCAAAATTTGAATCTAATTTCTTTAAAAAATTAAAGAATTAATTTTATATCAAAATTTTTTATTAGCAACTCAATTTTTGTTTATATTTTTTATTATAAATGTTGATTATTTTATTAGATTAATAAATATAAAATAAATAAATATTGCAATAATAAATTTATAAATATATAAAGATAATTTATTGAAAAATGATAATTAATTCTAAGTATATATTTTATTTACTATATTTGACTTCACAAAATATGACTAGTTATTTCCAAAAAAATAATTAATTTTAGCATTTATTTCTTAAATAAAAATTATATTACATTAACTTTGACTTAGAGAAAATTTCAAAGATTTTATGATAAATGGGTTAATTGAAATGAAAAGTTATTCATAAATTTATAAAAAGTAATTTTTTAAATTTTTTAATATGCTTTTATTGTTAACGTAAGAGAAAATTTGTTAAAAAAACAATTTTGATGATTCATAAATCAATTTTTAGAATTTAAAGACCACTAAGTAAACAAATTAAATTACTTCATTTTAAAATATGAAAATGTTTCAATATTTTTTATTAAAAAATCTTGAAAAATAATTTAATATTTTTAAAAATAGAATTAAACAAATTTGCCATGAAAATTTTGTTACTTATGATGATAAAGGAATCGTATTCGGTGTGAAGAGTTTAGCGTCAAAGACAAATTGTTGCAATTATTTATTTTTTTAGTATGAAGTTTTTGTTTTCTGAATGTACTTTTGAAATTGGTGCCATGTGTAATTTGATTTTTTTTGCCTACATGTTAATGGCGGCAAGCAACTCTTCTGATGTGATTGAAGTCTATTTTTACTTTTATTTTATTTAAAGCGGTCTAAACTACTTTGTGTGGTGAAAGAGTTATATTTGTGCAAGTCATCTTTGTGTAACTTGATACTTGTAGCTTCTGTGTAGTCTATATCTACTGTATAGACAATAAGACTCTTATTTCATGTTATTATTGATATTTTATGGAGCTTTTGTGTAGTCTGGAGAGAGCGAGAATGATATTTTGTGCAACATCTATGCAAACTCAAGACAGTGACAGTAAGGGTTTTGGTGATGCCTCTCTGTTATTACAACTAATGATTTTTTAATTTCTTTTATTATATTTTATAATTATAATATTTTTTATAGTAAAGTCATATTTTTGAATTATTATTATGGGTTTAATTATCTTGACAATTTTTTTATTTTTTAAAATGTATTTTCATATATTTTATGACAATAGCTTTTTATGAAAATTTTATTTTATGAAAATTAAAAAATGATACAAATTAATATGTAAATATTTATATATATATCAAATTGATTTTTAAAACATTGAAATATGAAATACATTTTTATTATGGTTGAAAACTGTAAATGAGTATGATTCTGCAAATTAATGTATATAATTAGAAGAGTATACATATTATATAAAACACTCATCTTGAATTAAATCCTAATCATAATACTCATCAATTTTTAAAAATCCAATGTGGAAATATAATTCTTGATCATATACTTTTGTTATCTATGAAATAAAATTTTACAATATGCAAAAATGACAATTTAGATAAATATGATGTGGAATTTGGTGCATTGAAGTATATAAATTTTTTTTAGTTTTGAATATAAATTAAGTGTGGATTTAATCTTTTGAATGCTTTGTTGGCTTTCATATAACGTTAGTGATCAACAATTGCAATGCATGCTCCATAGCAATATTATATTCAAGATTCGTAGACTTTTTTCTTCTAAGCATATAATGTTCATTCTTCTGAACATAGTGATATATTTTTTTTCCAGTTTTAAAGTAATGATATTCATATAATGTATGAATATGTGCAAAAGATATGTTTTGCAAAAAAATTGTTTATTCAATTTGATAACATTAAACTAGACAATCAAATGAATATTTTATCGTTTGAAGCATCTTACTTGTCTTAATGCATCTAAATGAAAAATGGTTTCATCATTTTTTATTATGTTAAATTTTTTTATTAATTGCATCAAGAGTTTTTTTTTTGTTTCTATCTTAATATGAATTTCAAAATGGTCAATCTATTGCTCATCGCTCAACTACTTGTTAGTTAAGTAGTACATCAAAATTGTTCATTTTTTAATGATGTTGCTTCATTGAAAAAAATAAATTATCATTAAGAAACACACACCACAACAAGATCTCACATATATCTTCTAACTTTTTGCATATCTAAAAGAACATCATCAACAAATTTCTATTCGTCATGCAAGTGTGCTATTATCAAGTGATATCAAACAATCATGATCAATCACTTGCCTGTGATTTGTTTCTATTAATAGAAAAACATCATTGCACTTGAAAGAAAAAATTCACCATATTTATTGTAGTGATAACAATTTCAAGTCAAAAATCATGTAATAAATCAAATTGATATAATTTAAAATGCATGTTCAACATTTTTTGATTAAAAATTTGAAAATTAACATTTTTATTGCAGATTACATATAATGATAAGATTACAGAACTTTTATAATATATTTTGTAAATTTTAGCTTGTTTAGAATTATGTTACTTGTAATTATATGTTTGTAAATATTAAATACTTGAAATATTTTCTTGAAAACATAAATTTATAGAAATTTTGATTTATCATTGAATAAATTTGTATGTTTTACATTTTAGAGAGTGAGTTACAAGATAATATTTTTACATGTCATTATTTACATTTCCAATTGTTTATGTCCATAATGAGCTATACCACTATAAAGTTTTCTTTGATGATTTTTTATATTATAAAGCTTATAATAAAGTATTTCAATTTGATATAGACAATATAAGTTGATTTTAGTGTTAAAAAAACTTCAGTTTTATGTTATTCATGTAAGTTTGTGAGAAAATCAAACATGATTGATCTTAAGTCAAAATTTAGTATAGTTTTTGTTCATCATGAACGATATTGTATTCCTCTATTTATAAAAATCTATGTTTGTGTAACATCATAATAGTATTATACTCACGTCAATACCTTCTTTTTTTAAGGTCTCTAGTCAAAATCTTTTGAATTTATGTAACCGGAAAAGAAGTTTTTATTTAATATCAAGTATAGATGTAACAAAAACCAGTATATGTTTACTTTAGAAATAATAATTACATACTACAATCCAATAAATTTCAATCTCATAAGATTGATTATTTTTCATAGAAATGAAACTTATGATACTAATTTTTTTATAAAAATACACATATAAAAAAATATGATGATATATAATATTTTAAATTTTTTTATTATCAACAGACATAAATGATTATCTAGAATTTATAATTTTGGTTTTATATTTAATCTTTAAGCAAATTACTCTACTCAACATCAAAGTGTAAAGCCATACAAATTGCAGTAAAGATTAATAATCATATTTTGTACATGATAAGTTATTTGAAATGACAATGTTTGTCACATTTTCATTTCAATGTGACTATTCATCAGTTTCAAAGAGATGTAAAATCTGTTTGATGACTTCGCTTTGATTTTAATCAAAGCAAAGCAAGATTAATTTTTAAAAAAAAATTAATAATAGAAAATTATTAATTACATGTAATCATGTCAAAGCTAGTTTATCTTTATTGTAGTCATCTTGCTCTGTTTAATCCTCTAGGTTGTCCGCTGTTTTTTTTATCAGACCAATCATTATCTAAACTCAATTGAAAACACAAAGGACCGCGTAAAATGAATCTATATTTGAAGTTTTGTTCTAAAACTGGAAGACATTTTCTCATTTTAGATGCTGTTTAGATGTCGTTGCTACCGCTGTCAAGGTGTTTTTTCAATGAAATTCTTGCTTGTGTGTTAAGAAATATTTGAAGTAAAAGATGCGTCTGGTCCAGATTTGCTGATAAAATTTGGACCAGATTGAATAATCATTTATATATAAGGTTGCTTAGCTTGTCAAGCAATTCTTGTGTGACATAAGTATACTTTTCCAACAACCCAACAAATGAAGAGACATGTGGATAGAATTTTTGAGATTCTCTGAGGAGTAGGTAAAACTGTTATTGTTGAGATCGTTCACACGTTGAGCGTTTGCCATTGTTGCTAGTTTGCAGCTATGTCTGTAGTTGCTCGCTACTCCATTCTGCTAGGTGCACACACTCAAGAGTTATATTACGAAATTTTTGTACACAAATACATTTATTTTTATAGATATTGGACTCAACAAGTATTAGTGATCCATATTAGTAAAGATATGTCACAAAAATACAAAAGAGTATACAAATTTTTAAAAATTCTGTATTTCTGAGAAATATGATAAACTTCTATATACACGACCAAAATAACTAGTTATTATCTAGATCCAGCTAAACAAAACAAATTGTTTCATTTTATTAAATTGTTTCAATCGATTGGAGATGAAGATATAGTCCATTAGCATCCTGAGGTTTATATTCTAATTCTGCCAGGATTTGGTATCATTAGTCATATTGTCTCTACCTTTTCAAGAAAACCCGTATTCGGTTATCTAGGCATGGTGTACGCCATGATTAGTATTGGAGTTCTTGGATTTATTGTATGGGCTCATCACATGTTTACTGTAGGTTGCACTCATTAGAATAAAAAATATGTAATCTGATTCATACGATATATTATTATTTTTGGAAAAAAATTATCAAAATCTTGAGATGATGAATAAGAGAATATGAATATATTTTCTGTATTTATATTCCTTAAATTTTATTTAAAACGTATTTACAAATTTTAATTTATTCTCTATACTCAAGTACAATTGGTTGATGTAATTAAAAATGTTAAGAAGATCGATGTCCATGTGTAACCTTTGTAATCAATTAGTTGAATGATGTACTAGATGTCGGATAAAATCTATATAAATCTTTATCAAATGGATCGATGCATGTATGTCTTTGCTACCAGATTGGATGGCCGAAAATATTTAATCCAAATAATTTAATAATTTAAAAAGAGCGCTCAAACATTTCTCTCCTTACAGTACTATGCTCTGAACCTCGATTATGAGTCCCAAAAAAACTGGTATTCTTCGATTGAATGAGACATCATAAATCGGATGGAGTACAGTATCGAGGAGGCAGTACAGATCCATAAATTTGTGTGAAAGATGAAATCAGACAATTAAATTGCTAAGAAATTTATTAAATGACACCTTATGTAAACTCAGAAATCAAGGCACATAGTATGGATATAAACAAAAACCCTTTTACGACACTTCTTATATTCTAACCATTTTATCTAGAGATTAAATGGATAATTTTGTGATAAAATTGTGGTTCAAAACCTCATATAGATTGTTCATTAATAATCAGTGAATTTCGTTGACACCATACAGAACCATGTTAGCCATGGCTTTGCTGAGAGTTTGAGATGCTTCTATACAACTCTATGGTCTTTCGGCATCATTTTATTCCATGTCTAGGATTTACATCATATATATTGTTTATTAATTATCAATGAATTTCGATGACACCATAGAAAACCATGTAAGCCATGGCTTTGTTGAGAATTTGAAATGCTTCGATGCAACCCTAAGGTCTTTAGATATGATATAATTCAATGTCTAGGATTCACTACCCTGCACAGGCGAAAGCTCATTCCTCAACGTGGGTATCCTTGTGTGATTGTACAAGAAAGAAATCTCCTTGTCAAAAAACACGAAGACAAAACTTATTTGCTCTTCAATATCCACGTTTCTTCCATTTGAAATTTTTCATTAGTCATAGTACCACTGGAATATTTTGCCCTTTAGTGTCGCTACCATTAGTTGGAATCTGGTTGTTCTGACATCTTGTGCCTTTACCTTGAAGCGTTCTGACACAATAGAGAGAGATACCTAGAGCAAAGAAATGCGTCCTGGATTTTGGAACAGGTTAGCATCTCTTCTCAAATGGGTGGAGAAGTTAGGAGAACGATGCTGTACGTCTAAAAGATCATATTCTTGCTTATTGCTGTAGTTCTTTAGGATGTATAATGTAGACGACGTCATCACCCGGCGAAAAAAGAGAGGTATATGAGCTATTTGAAAACTGTACTGGGATATTAAAAAGGCCGCCAGTGATGTGAAAAGTCTTGGGGAGTATGGAGACAGTACGACACACTGGGGAGTGATGACGCGCCTTCAGTCGGAATAATCCGGTCACTCTTCAACCTGACAGACAAGAGCAGAAGTCCTAGCAGAACTGTCAGCATTCCGTCAAGCATCGATTGATGCCTGATTAACATTCCGTCCAAGACCCGAGAGACACAGTACGTTCCCGATGCGTCATGCGGTTCGATGCAACTGACGACGTACGATCGAGAGCGTGAATCGTGGATGCCAAGTTACTCGGACGAACGAACGTCGAGCATCCGCTGTTCTTTCAGAAAGTCGGGCGCCCCATCTCGGTGGCTGGCGGGCGAGCAGCAAGGGGCCACCCTCCAGACCGTGGATCGCAGTGTCACACCCTCGAGTAGGGCAGAAACATCTGCAGGCCTAAGGGCCAGAAACAGTAATGACCATCTTTAGTTGTCCTTCCGTATGTATGGACTTTGAAGTCCATATGTACGTCCAGTCGGATTACAGAGGGGCGTCGCTAAGACAGATGTGGTGTTAGATGGAGCATGAACTTGGGGCGGAAGCAGCTAACGTTAAGCTGTAGTCAATGGATAGAAAGAGAACGAGAAAAGGGAGAAGGAAATAAGGAGCGAGATAAGAAAGGAGCGAATGGAGCGAGGCCAAAGTTGTGGCGAGGAAATGACGCGTGAGAAATGAGCCCTTGCCTCAATCTAACCCAAGCGCGGATCGGATGTGATAACCCTGCAGTTGCGGGGTCTCGAGTAGATTGCGCAGGATTATTGGGTGGGGGCTCATCCAGCGAGCGCTAGTGTATACTGTGATTGTCGTAAGCAAGGAGTCTTTTGAACGGGCCCACATCCAGAAGCTTCAGCATATGGTGGGAGACGCAGCATCTCTCTTTTGGCGCAGCTCTTTTGCTTTAATGCCGCGCTCGCAAGACCAAATTTGGACGAGGATAATGTGGCTCGACGATGACGGTCATGCATTGACAGAAGTTCGAAACATTTGCGAACTTTCGCACTCGCTTTATCCGGTTCATCCAAAGAGTTGTTGAAGAAGATGTGACGAACTTCGACCTCTAAGCTGACTGTAACCGAAACCTACTACACGGTGCACATCTAGGATGGACTCGAGCGCCAAAAGCGCCCGCTTTAACCGAGAAGCAGTTAGACTTGGAGTTGGTGTGGGTTTGACCCGTTTCTAATGAAAGAAACGCCGGGTTTCATTTGAGAATTCGTCCAGATTTGCGTGCTGAACGTTTATGCTGCTTTTCCTCCAATTGAATCCATCTCATGAGGTCAAGTCAAAACACGCACCTTTTTGACATTGTACCATGCACAAGTCCACGGAAGCAAGTCCTGATATCATTCTGACACGCGTTCAAGAAGTAAGCTCTCAAACTCTCACTACAACGTGGGGCTTACAACTGCGCGGACCAGCGGCCCATCAAAAACCACCTGAAAGAAGATCAAAAACACCTTAATAAGTTCACAAAAGGCATCAAATTCCTGCTCGGCTGCTGAATTTTGACCTACACTGGAGTGGACGGGGCGTGCGAAGAGTTTGCTTCTAAGCCTCTTGGAGCTTCGATACCAGTGATATATGTTTAGCTCACTGCATCCGATAGAAGTTTGAAGTACAGGGTTCAGTGCGTTTCTAGCAGAATTCAATGGCTTCAGATATAATTGCAAGAACAGGGATCCTCTTATCAGTATCTCTTTTACTTCTAGCTTTGAGTTCAATTTCGTCTATTCGGTCAGATACTTTTGACCAGCAGAGTATTGGGAACAACGAAAACCTGAAACGCTGGGATCCTGGTACTTACATCACTCCTTTTCGTCTAAATATGCATTTCATGTACATGATTTTGAGTCTATGCTTGATTGTCACAATTATCACGATGAAAATCTGAAGATCATGTCTGGGAACCAGAAAGCTAATTTCTTGTTGGTGCTATTTACGAGATTGAAGGGTGCTGAAAATTTATTGAGAGACTAACGTGTATCCAGGTCTGACTGTCAGATTCAATAATTTTAAACAATGTTTGAACTCCTATTTTGATCTTTTTTTACGTTGGGCCTTGATGGGCTGAGGATGATCGATAACAGTGGCTGTTTCATCGCGAGTAAAAGAATACTCCAGTGGGGAATCTCTGTTTGAACCATGCCTTGATTTGTGTAACGATTGTTGTCAGCTCACTTAGACAGGAAGGGAGAGTCTGAAGATCACGAAGCAGAAACGTTCAGGGTGTTTCTCATTTAGTAGCGTTCTGGGATATCAAGCATACCGATGTAGAATAAATATTCCACCTCATCGAATTAATCTTATACTTCTTCTTCGCCTCCTTCACGAATTGAGTTTCTTGGGAGTTTGTTATCAAGATCCTGACACTCTTGTATGTCGATCGGAATCCTGCCTTGTTAGTATATTGAAAACTCATTTCTGGGATCAGATGTTTCACGGCCCAGTGTGCAGAGGAAGGTACATTGAGCTAGATTCACAAACACCTAGCACCTGTGCCTGCGATAAGTACATTCCTATGGGTACGGTCAACAGTGCATTTTCGTCTTGGCTGATTCGATCATCATTTGCATATTTTGCTAGTATAACGCCTGGTTCATCAGGCTTTTGTCTCCACTTTTAAAAGTATAGTCTGTCAAGGCAGAAAGATTCTCATCCTTTGAACGGAGGTGAAGTTCGTAAAATGCAGCATTAGTTCACAAGAGTGATACGAATATTTTCCAGTTGCCGAACCGTGAGTTTGGCTCAGATCAGCCTAGACCAGATGAATCTCGGCCCACTTGATGTAGTATCCAGGGTTTATCTTCTCTGACATATTCTACTTGTGTACAATCGGATAATCACGAAAGCAAACAATCACAGACAAAACGCATTTAAATGATTCGAAGCCCGCCATGTCTACGTCAACCTGCAGTATGTGCTAGGCGTCGACAATCGCTCCTCGTCGAAACTCATCTGCTTATCTCGTGATCACGTTAAAACTTTAATGACAGAAACAACACAGTGATTTCAGACTTCAGGACCTCATCGTGCAGGGGAGGTTACTGTCAGAGTTAGGGCTGTAAACCTCGAGTTAAGTCTCGCATGAATGAAATGTGGACTAAGTGTCGCGTCATTGCTCATGTGCCTGTGTGCCAGATGTCGCTGCTTTCGGTCCAGCTGCTGAATCCTGGAGTCAGAGAAGAGTTCTGTTGCAAGAAGCAGATAATAGTACCGGTGCAGGCACAAACGGGAGACCCTTGGCGGTCAAAGGTGGCCGCTTGGACCCCTTCGATGGTTTCCGCAAATACCGCGGTGGGTACGACGTCGAAAGCAAACACTACTGGGGGGTATATTCTCGTCCTCGGCCCTTTTCTTGATTTGACAAGGCACGCCAGTGGCATTCCGAGTCTGATTTTATAAGTCTGATTTGCATTCGTACACCTCTGCGCAACTGCACCGCATCCGTACGCAGTTCGTGATAGAGCGGCCGTCCGGAGTTTGCTTCATGACGTGAAATCCACATCTTGGCGGCAAATTGTGCAAGTCCAGACCCGGTGTCCCACGCATTACCACTTCGTCTGACCACGGCTTACGGCCGAATGCCAATTATTTCATCCTTTCGACAGGAGTAGAAAGTGCCATCACGTCATATAATTCTATTCTGATTTTTATGTACAGACAGGCCTACAGTGGAATAAAAAAAGAAGGTTATTTCACCAATATCTAGATGTCATTGGTTTATTAGGGTGTACGTTTATTCTTAAACAAGTCATCGGGAAACTAGCTCGAACCGGCTGGCGACGGGGGTTAATTGCAATTGTTTATAATAATTCGAAGATCGAACCTTGTACCTTAAAAGAATTATTCCTGGGAAAGTACTGCAGTCTCGCATCATGTACTGGACTTCTAATTCGCGTAAGGGGGAATGCTGAATGCGCTAATCTTGACTTATTATGCAGTCCGTGGCATTCACCGGCATTTTTGGGTATGCGTTAGGCGCGGCTTGGCTACTATTGGGAGTGATCCTCGGGACCTCTTACTGTTGTCTGCGGTACTGCTGCTGCAAACGGAAATCGCGCCGAACTTCTTCTCTTGATCCGCCCCAAGTCTCCTACTGCTGGCTCGCCGTTTTGAGCGTCGTCTTGCTGACTGTCGGCGCCTTGTGAGTAATTCGTGCTGCCGTATGTCCTTCGTTGAAACATGAAATTGATGTTGTCGTCCCTTCCGGTACTTGAGAAAATATGTGATGTCCGCCCACGGGCAAATGATTATTCAAACCTCATCCACTTGCGTGAGTCGGAAGAGTATTCAGTCTCAAGTTTCATCACGTCTTTCCAAGACACATTTAAGACGATCAATACCGAGAATCGATTGGTAAAAAGTTAGTTTTTTTTTTAACGTGGTGATTACTATATTATGGAGTCATCTATTGTAGACACGCGTGGTTGGTTTGATTCGTTCGGAAGTGTGTTGAAAATGGCGATTTGCAGAGCACAATTGGCCTATAATCTTCAAAAATTAAGTTGCAAGCATTATGAAATAAATGTCAAGCGTTAGATCAGATTCATATGATGGTACATCTTACCTCCTACGCTATTCGTAACCAAAGTTTGGCATTGCAGTTTTGCACATAAAGGTCGTTTTAATAAGTCAAGGCATAATTATGCTGCCGAGTTAATCTGGAGCTTCATTCGTTGTTACAGTACTCATCATAGATAGTACTACATTCGTCTACTTAATACATACCTCCAATTACAGTAATGATACTTTTCTGTACTGTCGTGAAGTAAGAGCTTGGACTGCTTCGGATTCTTGTTCAAAGCTTTGATCCTCTAATTTCTGTTGGAATCGTGATGTGCAGGGGTGGCTGCGTAGCCCTGTATATTGGAGATAGACATTTTACCGTGGAAGCGAGGAACGTGGAGGAGACATTGAATAGAGCGTCAGACAACGCAACTGGTACTATAGGAAATATTACAGCAGCTATCACCCAAGTTCAGCAACTCGTGGAGCCTTATGAAACCAGCGCAAACACTCTTGAAATTGTTAACACCAAAGCGAGGCTTATTAATGAGAGCCAAAGCATTCAACAGACCGTTGATGACAACACAGATATCTTCCACGACATAATCACTGCAATGTAAGAAAGTTCTATACAATCCCCCGTTTCTCGTTTCCTACAGGGATGATGATCAAGATGCCACTGTTGGGAATAGATGATGTTAGCAGATCTAATTATGTGAGTTTGTCTCTGATTATTTGTGTCATCTCATGTACTTCGAACGTCGGGATTGCCCATAGGATACTCCTACATTTCAGGGAGCTCAGTATGCTGAGTTGTGATACCGACCATATCGGGTCTTGTCCTGAGCTAATATCCTTGCTTCTCGTCTACCGCTTATTCCGACAGGGAGGCGGCTCTCATCGTCGTGACGACATTAAACGTAATAGTCATCATCATGGGACCTGGTACGTTATGTCACTTTTAAGCCTGAGAATTCATCGCTTCGCTTTCGGGTCAAAGAGGCACTGAGTTAGAAGACTTTGAAGTACCATGCAACAATCAGATTGAAGCGTGTGGTACTTAGGAACCTGCCGTATATTGCATGACTGCACGGATAGGACATGTTTTGCATGTGATCTGAGGGTTCGATCTGTGACTAACAAAATAGAAAGTCACGATCGAAGGTTACAGACATAGCGTGACTTGTACAGTATAACGTGTCATGTCTGCGCTGACTTTTGTTATTGCTTGACTCTTGTATTTGCAGTTAGTGCTGTATTCAAGTGGAGACGCATTTTCTATTTGTAAGTTTCAGAGTTTAAGAATTACTACTATATATTTCTTGTGTGAACACAAAGTGACGGATCAAGATCAAATATCTACCATGATGTGCAGTTCAGCCGGTTGTGCCATTTCATGGCAGCAGAATCCGCAAGCATTATATGGTACTTCGATTTATCAAAGAAGATAACAAGACGAGAAATTCACATACAAAATCCTTTAAACTTCGATGGGTACAGAGATTTAGTACTCAATCTGTGATCTGGAGAGCATGGAAGTTAATAGTTTCTGCCGATAATGTTGGGAATGTAGAGGAGCTCTAATCTCACAGAAAATTGGTTTGTGCAGCATCGTGGTCGTTGGTTGGATCTTGGCAGTCCTCAACAGCTTCCTCTTTGGTCTCTACTTTATGTTCAACAAGTAACTCCCTTTTCTCCACCCGTATGTGAGAATTTTATTTGTCATACTTTGCTTGAAAATCATTTGATTCTTACTAATCATTTGACTACCTAGCACCTCTCCGGTTCGTTTTGACTTGCTAAGGCTTCAATGCCTTAGAAAGTCTTGAATCAATAGTTCTTGCACTCATGCCACGATGGATGTGTTACCTAGAATTATCGGATGCGTGAACAATATTCTCTCGAGTATACGTTGATTTCGCTTGAATATCACGTACTCAAAGCTCTGCATGGTTGTGCAGTGCCGTAGAGGATACCTGTGACGCCATGAACGAGTATATGGATCGACCTTACAACACAACACTTGACGCATTACTTCCTTGCGAGGATCTATTATCTGCAAGTGATGCGGTTGATGACATTGCGAAGGAGATTAGAGATGCAGTCTCAAGTGTAAGTATAGTTTGAACCATACCTAAATATGATGAACTCATTGCACGGTTTTCTTCGCATTGTGCACGTCATCTTTTGGTTGCAGAAGACGGCGTGGACCTGCTCAATGCTAGATTAAATGTCCGAGAGATTTTTGGAGAATGTAGAAATCTGATTGCATAAAAAATTGTTGAAGTATTCTCTTCCCGATTCCGGATCATTAGTCATCATGATCTTCTTACATATCAGTCATGTGTCCTTCAGTGAGTTCATCAGAAATCTATCCTGCCCACCAGAGTACAAACATTGCTAGTTCCTCTCTGTTGTGTTGCAGCTTGGACTAGTACGATCGTGCTGAAAACATTTTTCAAGGGTACTGACAGAGAGATAACCTGCAGGTAAATGCCACTCTCAACTTGGTGCAATTACTGGGCTATAAACTGTCACCACTATGTGAGCAAATTGGTCCAGCTCCCGAGTACCAGTACATCAGCTCATGTCCGAATAATACTGTCAATATCGGTGATCTTCCCAAGGTGAGAATTGTAATCGTAGTCTATTCTACTTGCTCATCTTCTGGGTGTGACTTTAATGGTAATGTTTTCCTACGTACTCACCTCCTTTGTAATATTTAGGACGTCGGGATTTACAAGTCATTTGTAGCATCATTGACTGAGTTTTTGTGAAATCGAACAGGAGCTTGAGCCCTTAAGATGCAGCAGTAACGACAGTGTGAGTTGCTCTCAAAATAATACGTTTCTCACGGACAGCGAATATCAGAGGGTGATGGCTTATGCATCCAGCGCACAAATTCTTCTCAATATTTATCCGACACTCAATCGCCTCACTGACTGCTCTCTCATTCAGTTCGCGTTCTCAGAGCTCTTGAACGAAAACTGCGGCCCTGCTAACTCAGCCGTGCATTTAATATGGATTTCATTTCTAGTCGTCGCCCTGACCATGATATTCCTAATTGTATCATGGCTTCTGCTTCATTACCCCATCAGAGAGAGAAAGTCGTGGAGGGTGATAGCTCCTCAAGAAATGCCCGTGTGGACAGACCAATCTAAGTAAACTGTGGTAGCTTAGAGTAAGATTATTACATCAAGTATAGTGAATTTTTAGTGATTATAGTGAATGTTTAATGTACAGAGCGTTGGTTGAGTATTCTCAATGCCGAGTAGATCAGAACAGTTGTTTACAGTAGTTTCCAAATTGGGAATAGCGGTCAGATTGCTACTTGAAACATGCACGTGCGAATGACCGAGCAGCACTGCTTGAGGAAAAGCGGAATGATTTCGTTCATGATGAAAACCTGCGAAGATTGCTCGATCATAGATCTGCAGACGACCTGGAGCTTGAATGATGCAGCCGCCTATTGCAGGTGGTACATTTTGGTCCAATTAGATGAGTGGAGAAGGTAGTGCGTAGTTCCTTCGAAGACAAATATACTGTACATATAAAGTTTTGTCCATTAATTTGTCGCATTGGACGGGAGTCAGATGTGTCCATCTTCTGGATGCACATAGCAGGGCTCCTTGGCCGATCGTGTTTCCAGCGGAAAGGCAAGAGCCGTTTCCAGTAAAAATATCCAAAGGAAGAAAACTGGAACATTCCAACCTTACGACGTGAAATTTCTACATCTTCAGACTGTTCCTATTCCACTCTACTGGTTACAACTTGCACTTTCTTCATGGAGAGCTCACGGAGTATATTTCCGCGTTATCCCTCCTTAGGCCCTTGTAAATGGTTCTTGTATATAATTGCTTCGAAAAAGATACATGGAATTTGCACTGCATATTCTTAAATTTTATTTTTTTAAATGAGGGCGTACATGATACCCTCGGCACTTTCAATGAATTCTTGCAGATGACCCTTGGGAACTATTTCTAGAGCAATGGGCTTCGGCAGCCGCTTAGAAAAACCCTATGTACCCTGAAACTTGTTATACTCGCGGCATGAATGTAAAAACCATTGTTTGGAAACAGTGCCGACTTTGACGCGGCCCAACAGTTATGCAACGTTAGCAAAAACCACGTTTGCATTATTTATGCAACAGACAAGATTTCGTTGATTGATCGGTGGTTAGGTTCATGACTTCCATCATGTATACAACTCACGCAGTGTCCTGTAGGACTACCACAGGACACTACGAGTGAAGTGGAATCTCGATGATACTTGCCGCAATTCAAGTACTCTGATCCAGCAATTTCGAAATCATTCTTCTTCTCGATGTCAGTGCAAAAGAATGACATCATTCATGTCTCATGGACGACGTATCCTGAATAGTAAATGCGCATGTGATATATATAAATATATTTAAGATGGATGAACACTGGTCAAGTCAAGTACTTTCCACATGCGCTATATCTAATGATTTTCTCGCATGAAAAATTGTTTGTCTTGGGTGACATATATCTATCTAAGCCTCGAAAGAGGAAATTGTTATTTATATCAATCTAAAATTTAAAATTGTACTTGTGTACCTATCATATTTTAAGATTATCATCAATTTTCAACACTCCCCTTTCGGATCTCCTTCTTCCATGATTTATTTCTTTAGGAGGATCTCCTTCGTTTATGGGATCGTGTGCAGGACGGAGCCAGGAATTTCCGCTGAAAGTGGCTGCAGGCTGTGATGTCATGAGGGTCTGGCATCATGGTCAAGAGTAAAAAGTCCGTGTCCAAAGCCAAAGCTCTAACGAAATGTAGCTTCAATGACACCGCACTAACACACCCCATACTAAAGCCGATTCTCAGCGTTATGGAACTGTTACCATCGTTGATCTTGCGCTAGTCGTGTGGTGATCCTTCGTTATTCCGATGGATCACCCCTTTGCTTTGAATGTACTGTCTGTAAGAGCTTTTGGTTGTCCCTCTCAACAAAATACCATATTCCATACAAGAGACAGTCTAGACCTTCCTTTCCGACGTCCATGTACGAATATTGTCTTCGATCTGCAGTCGGACGTCCCTTGGAAAGCTAGCCTTGTTTGTATCAATTCCTCCTCATCTCCTATTTTATTGCAGGCCAACCGCAGCAAGTGCGGTGCACACACCTAACCAAGTTCGGGTTTAAGTTCGAATTGGGTATGTTGCACATCAATCCAAACATACCGTGGGTCCATCTACTGGACGTGCTTTATGTGGCACACCTTCAGATGGTGAAAAATTTACAGGCTCCAAGTTACATTGGACCTTTTATACATACAGACTTAATGGTGTTGGCTACATTATTGGACTTGTGGCCCATCATGGATGAATATAACGAAATTCAGTCTGGCAAGTCACTCTGCGATTTGGCAGAGTCACTCGAACATACTTGCTGTAAAGTAGCCTGTTCTCTACTGTAAGAGTCTCGCATTACCTCATTCACTCCAATAAATCCTGTTCATGTAGACCATGTTAAATGTGAACTGCCATATACTATCGATTGCATAGTCTAACGAACTAAAGATAGAAAAAGGATATAATAACAGATACAATGGTGATATTACTAATATGCTATGAATAAACAACTTTTTGTAGTACACAGTTCAATAGTACTTCAAATTGAACATGGTAGGTATCATGCCTAGACTAATATCAGATATTGTAGATTTTTCGTAAATTTTACTTCATATGTCATAACAAATAACGGTAATGTTACACTTTGAAAATACTAAGATTATAAACCAATCAAATAGAATTACGTACAGTAATTCATCATTTCATTACACAATACTATGATCGAAAAAATTTATTATGATCAATTTCATATTACAAAGTAATTTGAAAATTAAAAATCATTCAGCCAAATAACATCGATTTTTTAATATCATATAAAAAATAAATTAATATTTTTTATTTTTTATTTTATAATCAAAAAAAAATCATTATGATCATTTTTCAAGCATTCAATTTCTATATAATAATCCAAAATGTATGTAAAATCAAAACTGTATCTTGAGTTCTTCTAAAAAATTATTGTACATTTAACGAAGATGAAATGTTTATGCTATATAAAAATAAAAATTGCTGAAATTTTGTTCTAAAAATTTGAAATTGCTTCAAGAAATACGTTCTATTCCGATTTAAATGTTCAGTCAACATTTCCTTTACTAATATGAATGAATAATTCAATCCACAAAAATGATTTACTCTAAGTGATTTTTGTGTTATCATAAATGAATAGAAGAATTTAACAAAAGATTCAAGTTTAAAATTTTAAAAGGAAATTTTATGACTTGCATAGTAATAATTTTCCCAAAGTTATTCAAGATCTATTTTTAAACAAGAATTAAAGATTAAAAAATTTAATTCTATTTATTAAAAAATAGTTTTTAAAAAAATCTGTCAGATTTTGAAATGCATAACATAAAATCAATTCTTTCAATCATTTCAAAAAAAAAATTTATCATAAAAAGTGTGCTCTATGTTATTAAGTATTTACACATTTCTGTTGAGGTAAACTCCGGTTAAAGAGCTACCTCCGGTTCTAGCTAAACATAACTAGGAGTGTCGCAGGTGCTTGGGTATTTATACCTCGGTTTTCTTATTAATCAACACATTTGGCCTTTCTCCCGTGTATTTAGCTTTTTGTGGTGAATCACATTACATCATCTTGTGTTTCGTTGTGATGTTTTAATGTAATTGTTGACTTGTATATGCTTTAGTTTGAATCTCATATAAAACTTAAAAGATTCGATTTCCCAAAATTAAAAAAAATTTGAACATTTTTCAACTAAGCTAATAAAACATAAGTACATCTAATAGTTTGATTTTCAATTCATTAATTCCAAAAAAATCATATACACTAAAATTTTTATTAAGCATAATTAATTTAGAGCATTTAGAAATATTTTTTAAAAAATACAATATATTTTTTTCCCATTTTTAATAAAATAAATAATGGATTTTTTGGGTAATCTTAAGTTAAAGCTTAAAATATTGTGGTAGGTTGAATTTTATCTTGCTAATATTATAGACTGAGATTTACATATATGAAGTATTATGTATCTATAACAAATATTGGTTTAAAAAATAGTATTAGAATGTGAAATGTAAATTAGAGCTCTTATTCCAGAATTTTATTTATAAATTAATTTTGAGAAATTACTGTTTTCCAAAATTTAAAATGTAGAATGACAAAACTGAATATCAGATACAAACTGAATAGAAAAAAATTAGTGAAAAGAAATGATGATTAATGTTTTATAAGCCTTGCACAATGATCTTTGATAATCTTGCTTCAGCAAGATTATCAAAGATTATTTCCTAGGAGACATAAATTAGTAGATTAAAAATTTACAGAATAGACATATATCCAAAACACTTGTGAAAAACTTTGTGATTCTACATCCAGAAATTCACAAATATTTTGCAAAAAATATTTTATTGTAATCTTATATGGAAATAGCTAATTTCATCCAACAATTCATATTAAAATTTACAAAATACTATCAAAAAATACACTATTTCCTAAAGAAACTGAGAAAATTCAAATAAAATATTGTATGAATGCTGGTAATTTGGCAAAAGTTTTGACTTACGATCCGCTAACAATTTTTCAAAATAAAGAAAGACAAAGCCAAGTCTAGATGTATCTGGAGGAGTTGAACAAAGGTCATCACAGAACTGGGCAAAATTTTCGCTCGCGGGACAGCTTAAACATAGTCTACTCAAAATAATCAATAATTAGATTACGTCATCGAGAGTACTCATGCAAAGAAAGGAAAAGAACACAGATTTCATTTGAAATAGCACATGTGATCCCTGCCATTGAAGGTGCGACGAAGGATGACAGTACAATTATCACATATACGCAGATTAGTCGGAATACATATATTATCATTATCCTGATTTCTTTGAAATTTGAATGAAGTAGAATCTTTTAACGTCTCTAGTGGGAAACGCTATGAAAGATACATCAAATTGATGAGTGCTTTGCATCAAATTACAAAACGAAGAGACAACAAGTCCGAAGAGCTTCACAAACTCAAGTAAACTAAGAACAATGTAAGTAAATTGTAGAAACAAGAACTGTTTAATGATAGAAAAAAACGTTGATAGTTTTTTTGCACAATATTATTATTTAGGCATTATTTCCAGAACATTGAAAAATTTGCATAAAACCATCGAATTAATCAGTATATAACCTAATCAATGATCATCATTAAAATTTTCATTTCTTTACGGATAAATATTTGAGATACTTTAATATATTGAAATAAAAACCCAAAAAAAAATTTGTACTTACATCCTTGATTGATAATAAGAGCAAGCATACAAATAGTGCAAAAAATTAAGAATAAGACATAATTGTCAAATATTTTGTGTTTCTTCAAAGTTGATAATGAAAAGTTTAAATGAAGAATTTATGCTTTAAGTTTTTATTTTTAAACATCTGAGTTATTTTAGGTTGGACTTAATTTCTTCAAGTGAATTGAATATGAGGTGATTTACTACATAACTTAGTATATATTTTTGATAAATTTGAAATTTTGGTTTATATTACATCCAATTTAAACTCATTCTAGACGCGTTTTTGTAGCTTCTTGTTATCCAATTTATAAAAATCAAGTTCAACTTAAACAATCTCACATCAAACAAATTTTTGATGCACAAATACAGAGAGTGAATCAAATCTCATACAATTTTTTCACTCATTGTGATATGACAACATTCAAAAATATTCCAATATATATTTTCAAAAATTATTTATGTATGATGAAAAAAAATTAAATTATTTTTATTAAAATAAACTTGCTTAATATATTTGTCTACAATTAATTCATATATAAAATTTTAAAATTTACAGTAAATTCCAAAAATTTGTTTACAAAATTTGATTATACCTTAAATTTTTTCAAGTATTAAGAATATTGATTAAAAAGCCTAATAGTGATTGGCCTAACTAGACATAAAAAATTATTTTGTTTGTGTGTTGAGGCAAAAACATGTTATTGTTCTTTTGAACATTCTAGAAGTACAAAATTCATTTTATTATATCAAGTCAATTTAATCGAGTTTCACTATGTGATAGTCAGTTTTTTCATTATGAAATCTAGTCTCCAAATCTTCTTTTAAGACCATTAAATTATTTTTATACTAATTTTAAAAATTTATCTTACATATATATAAATAAATAATAAGTGATAACTAAACTTAGACTTAGGCACAAATAATAACCAAAAAACGTTTTCTGGAACAAAAAAAACACTAGTTTTTTTACCCCCCCTCCCCCCCCCTTTTCTCCCCGTCAGGGGATAATTGCAGGGCCTTGTATTAGATTTATTTATATTAAACTGAATTTTTATTTTTTTATAATAATATTAAATAAGTTTTTATGATGTATGGAAGATCATATCAACAGTGAGTTCAAAAACTTCAAAAAATTTGAAAAATGAGACTTTAAAATTGAGTTAAAAATTGAAAAAAAATTAAAGAAGTTTTTTCGATATTTGAAAGTAAAAAAATTATAATATCTACTTATTGTATGATTCAATTTTTTTTGTGTTGAAACTTTTTATTTTAAAAAAATAATCCAAAAAATCATGTGCAGATTAATTTTATTTTACAATTGAATGTATTTTGTGTTTATTTGATTATATGTGTTTGATATACACGTATATAATTTCTAAATTCCGTTTTTTATTTTAATTGTAGACTTTAATTACAAATTTTGATTAGAAGAACTTATTAAAAAACAATCAATAAAAAATTGGATTAATAAAACATATTTATATGCCATACAGGAAAAAATGATTTGAAACAGTATTCTGCACAATTAATATCCATGATGTTGTGTGGTAGATCAGAAAGTTGAAATTTAATCATGGAATTTGAGCATGTGTGAATCCTATAATTATTTTTTTAATACACCACTGTGAACAAGATTGAGTATTTTCATTTTAAAGTATCATTTTTTTCATCCAGCGATTTGAAAGTAATCATCAATGTTCAATATGAAAATTGATGAAGAGTAAAATAAATATAGATGTCTGATTACTCGATTCTAGTTAAGTAAGTAGACTGTACATTCAAATGTTTTCAAAACAAAGATCATGCGATTTCGTTGGATACATCCACTTTTTAAACTCACGCATGAGAGTTTACTAATCTAGATGTAGGTAAAATTTCCTTGATTTGATGCCTGTTTGAAATACATAGGATAATTTTGCACTATGCGTATATGGATATGATGTTTTGGTGGATTCAAAGGTAATATTTCACAGGAAGAAAATGATAGCAGAGTTGTGTTTCAATTAGTAATGATAAGAATCATGTTATGATTGCAGATATGATGATGACTGATTTCATAGATATTTTGGTGTGATTGAAATACTTTTTATCTTTGTTTACTCCTGGGCGGGCTGCATGGCCAACAATCAAGATATGTAAGTATGAGGTTATGTAAACCCCTATGTTCACATATTATTGGAGTTATATGGAATTATTTGATTAATTTTTCCATATGTTAGTGAGAGATTGGGCAAGAAATTTGTGTAGTCTATACTCTAACCAGTGGTGTAGTTTGAAGTAGGCAGCGTGTTTTCATTGCTTAATGGAGCTGTATGGAGTATCATAGTGAGCAATCACAGTAATTTAAGCAACAGCGCCATGCACAAATTTAGAGTGATCATATGTTTGTGTTGTTTGGATATTTTTGATACATATTAAAAAATTTGAAGATTTGCTTTATGAGGTTGTCGTGAGAGTTACTAAGAAAAGTAAGCATTTGACATGGGTGGTCTAGGAATCGCCTGCTACTGTAGTTCTAAAGACTAAAAGCATGGAGTATATATCAAACCCACATTCCATGAGAAGATGATAGTAAATGGTCTTCTGAATTGAGTTTTTCCCTCTAAAGTAGTAAATCAAGGTGGAAAAAAAGAAGTTAGAAAACGATGCTAGAAAACTTCAGATTTAGTTCAAATAAACTGCATTTAATGATCATGTCTGAATTTCATGTACGTGTACTATTTTCTACACTGTGGGCGTAAGGAGGTTAGCTTCTTCATCGTTCTGGTGAATCTCTTGCTTGAATAGCCACCTGGCAAATCAAGCTTACCTCTAAATCAAGGTACCTTTCAAGCTATAAGCTATGAAACCGAAACATTCAACCGGAAAAGCTAATAATAATTTGCACCCTCGACACGGAAGGATGCCTAAGGCCGGTCACTTGGGAGGCAATTAGTCCAGATTCCCTTTTAAAGCAAGGCTTCTCACCTCCCACGGACTTCGCCGGAGCCGAAGCAAATCGTGGACCGGAAGCGAAGCGGGAAATCTCACCGTCCTGAGGATTGACCTGGGCCGGTCACAGTAAATCTGAAATCTGAACTGCGTCTTGGCTGGACGAAGTACGGGTGACCACCACGCAGGACGGCGCGACTTCAGCGCGCGAACAGACTTCGTCAGGAAGCGCGGTCAAAGGCGCAGCCGGGGGTGTACTGTAATCGATGTACTGCACCAGGTCTACTGTGGGCAACATAGTCCGATCTAGGCCACCACCGGCGTACTGTACCGGGTCACGAGTTCTCACAGTGTACTAGGAGGTCATGTTCCCGAGAATCATCCCCACGTGCAAAGTTCGATTTTCGCGACTCTAGATTTCGCGAATCTCACTTGGGCAGTTGAGGTGTCAGGGAACGCGTGCCGTGTGTCGGGATTCGAACATCACAGTTGTTTTTTTTCCTCGCAGGAAATTGGAAGGAAGCACCGAAGGAGTAATGCACTGAGCGAGAAGGTGTTTCTGTTACGGGTCGTGGACGCGAGTAGGGCTGTGCCTGCCTAGCTGCCTGTAGGTATGGTGCAGGTGTTGTGAAATGGATTTCTGGGATTTTTGCGCATCTTCTTGGAATTCGTCTGCATAATTTGATCGATCAATCACATCGATTTGGGACCCGGTTTTATCGTTTTTTAATCGGCAGTTTATTCATCCTTTGCGAGTGTACCGTCCGCCCGACCTAGCGTCGTGTGCTGCGAGAGAGTTCGCGGTTGCCTATTGAATACTCATGCTGATTTTGTAGTCGCTGTCGGATTTCTGCGTCCGCGAGCTGAAATGTCGGTATTTTTGTCGTTTGATGATGTCTGCTCCGGCGCAATGCAGACATCCGTGACCATGTTGTTGATCAAGGTTGCGGGTCCTGTGTTGATGGTGCACGTAATTGTTGATCCAATCTGAGAATCAGTCGTTTCTTCCGGTGCTGAAAGGTCTGATTTGCTTGAGTCTGGTTCACGTGCATGATCATCTGCTGCTTCTTCGAAGCTTATGATTCGATGGGTTACCTTCGTTGTCATTCGTTGACTAGCTCAAGACGTTCCGTGCTTCATTAGGGCTTATTTTCTGACGATGGATGAGAAGGTTGGCGGTGGACCGAGTGTTGTGTGGTGATTGAGCCGTTTAGCTCTGTGGCAGATGCACATTGGAGTGAATCTGTTCTCGGAGACGACTCTTCTGGCGCCCTGATCTCATCCTCCAAGATGGGAAAATTACAGCTGATAAGAGAGAAGTCGGAAATGAGACAATGGACGCGCTCAATGAAGAAGGATGGTCGTCGAGTCGCACTCGTGCCCACCATGGGATATCTCCACGAAGGTCATCTAGCTCTTGTCAGAGAAGCACAGGCCCGTTCCGATCTCGTGGTGGTTTCAATATATGTGAATCCAGGCCAATTTGCACCTGGAGAAGACTTGAGCATATATCCACGCAATTTAGAAGGTGACTTAGCGAAACTGGAGGTCGAATGCTCATACCCTACTCTGTCCTGAAAGCTCGTTCTTCCCAGCGTTGATGTACCGTAGCAAACGCCTCTTACAGACGCCACCCTTCCTGGTTAGATGGTTGCTCTTCACAGGCAGTCTTCGCTACTTCCTGTATCCATTTCATCACGTTAGTTGTTTTAAAAAACATCCACTAGCTCCTTGAATCGTCCTCCCCCACGAAGGATTTTTCCGTAAGCATCGGCCTAACAGCAGCTGAGGGACTGACTTTCTTTGGCTATTCGGTTGGTGTCAGCCGATGGGCGTCGACGCGGTGTTTAACCCGTATGATCTTTATGTGCGGGATAGACCCGTCGTCGATGGTGGGAAAACGAATGAGGAGGGTTCGGAGATGCTTGTGAGTGATGAATTCGGCGGTGGGCATGAAACCTGGGTTCGAGTCGAGAGGTTGGAAAAGCCTCTCTGCGGTCAGAGTAGACCCATATTTTTCAGGGGAGTTGCCACGATCGTGACGAAGCTGTTTAATATCATTGAGCCCGACGTGGCTGTTTTCGGCAAGAAAGATTATCAACAGTGGCGGGTTCTTTGCCGTATGGTATAATTCGCATCCAGATCTCATCTGATCTGATGTTTGGCACTTGACCTCTATACGTGACGTAGAGTTTCTTCTTTTCCTTTTATCTCGTGGACGTCTGTGAAGCCTCTCGCTTTGAGATTGAGAGATACTGACGACCTGGACCCAGCAAGATCGAAATCTCACGCTTTGCCATCCGCATGGATAGGTGCGCGATCTTGACTTTGAAATCGAGATGGTCGGTGAACCAATTGTGCGAGAGAGAGATGGACTTGCCATGAGCTCTCGGAACGTTCGTCTAACGGCTGAGCAAAGACAGCAGGTGAGTCCGAATCACATGATCTACTCTCGGCACAAAAGTCAACGAGCTTATTGAATCAGTATTTCTTGTGTCCTGAGTCATCCAATCCACTTGTTTGCCCTGATAACACAGTCCTCCTTGCTGATGTGCGTTTTGATTGGCGAGTAGGCTTTGTCAATCAGCCGGTCTCTGAAAGAGGCAGAGGAGGCAGTAAAAATGGGGGAGTCAGACGCTTCTGTGCTATCAAAGCAAGTGCGGAAGACAATAAGCGAAGCGGGTGGGGACATTGACTATGTGGAGGTGAGAACCCTCACAGACTTATGAAGGCGTTGTAAGCGGATTAAAATGTTTCGAGTAGTATACAGCTATGACTGATGTACGGGTCCCAAGTCTAGGGCTCATGTCAATTTGAGTAATTTGCTCGGTTCTTGTGGGCCATTTGGATGTCTACTGAAGAGTTATTTTGGAAGGCATCAGACATGCTTCTCTATGAATTAGTTTTCGGAATCATTTGGAGGAGGAGCTTGCCGGAGATAATCAACCTCTTTTAGCAGGAGTCTTGCTATTTTTTCGGTCATGGAACTCTGTGGATATGTGAACATGCTTTTGATAGTGAAGGAGGATGTTGCTTTTGCAGATAGTAGAACAAGAAAGTCTGAAGCCAGCGAACAAACTAGAGTGTCCCACCGTACTTGCAGTGGCGGCACGTTTTGGGAGCGTTCGATTGATTGACAATGTTGAGCTGTGAATATCGAAATTGTCTATAGAAACCAATTTAATCATCGAGCAAAGATGACTTGGTAGAAAGTTTAGAATGTCATCTTGTACAAGTCTTCGATAACAGGATGCTGCCTTGGGCACAAATCAAAGGTGAATAGGCACATGCTAAATTTTGCAGTGCTCTTAACGTAGAATTTGAGTTTCAACATTTTCCGGAGGACTGGCCCATGCCTTCAAGCAAGAAAAACCAGAATCTTATAAGCGAAATTGTAGGTTTTGTAGTTTTCATGTGGAGACCTGATTCTTTTTTGTGATTACTAGCCCATGCTATCTCATTGTTGGAGATGTGTGTGAATTATCGAGCGCCATTACCAAATCTTCAACATAAAATATTGAGGCATGAGATTTTTGACTTAAGGTAATTTAAAACAGTGGAAGACGGTTGTCTTTACGTGATACACGTTCATATGAAACTCATCTAACACGAAGAAATCCGTTAAAAATTCATAAATTTTGCTTGCCTCTCAAGTCTCCCAATCCCCCATTGCCTCAAAAGACTGTTTAGAATCTGTCGAAGTGTCCGTCAAACACGTGGATCGACCGATTCCCAGAGCCCTGAAGTTGAAGAGGAGCAGTGGCAGACATCAACCTCACACTATCTTACCTAGAGAAAAGTGTGAAACCTCTCGTCCGTCTGCCGACTTCCCCCAGCCCCTCACATTCAATTGTACCGTGGCATCGAGACTTGATCACACCATGTCGAATCGAAGTGAAAGGCGATCGCAGCGTGACGTTACAATTCGCCTTTTGAGAAACGACAGTGTATCATAAGCTTGCAAAGTGGGACTGTGGCCGATAGTCGTCCTTCTGTTTACTCCTTCAGCTGCCTCGAAACGTTCTCTCTGCGTTCGTGCGGTGCACGCACGAGCGGGCAGAATGTTAACCCACCTCAATGTGTGGCGGGGTGTTACGAAGGCAAATATCTTCTGCTCACCACTTTCGGAACTGAACGGGAAGAATGTGAAGGGAACTACTTCACCTCTTCCGGAAATTTGCAGCGCAGAGTCTAGTCGGAGCAGTTTTCAACCCCCGGGGAGTGACGAACGTGATGGCACCTCAAGAGCGAGAGAGCCGCGGGTGCTTCGGGCAGCTGTCTCCGGTATTACGGAAATTCTGAGAGCCTTCAGCCCAGAGAGGTGAAACATTTGTCTTGCGTCCGCAGAATGTAGAAGAACTTCGAATGATCTCGTTCCCTGTTGCTAATCGCATAGCTCTAGGCGAGGATTACAAATGAGAAGGCATGCTCAGTGTCAGTCATGAATGTTCTAATTAGTCATTGCTCAAGTGATTTTGATTACCTTTACGGTACGGAATTGTAGCTTGTGAATTTAGCCTCACGCTTCAAATCTGGGATGGCTAAAAGTACAATTTAGAAGGATTGAATTAACCCGTGAATTTGTCTGTCGCAGAAAAATTCCTCCTGACCCTCCCATCATAACTGAGAAAGAAATCCTTGTGATTGACCAGGTTGTGGATGCTCTGCGGGAGGACTATGCGCGTTCGTACTTTCTGACAGGTACATATCCATCTGACTTCGTCGCTGTAGGACTGAATGCGAAATTGAGATGGTCATCTTGATCCTGTTTCCTCTCTCAAACTCGAATTAGTACGATTCAATCTGGTTACTAATCTGGTTATCGAGGTTGATTTGAAAATTGTTGGTACTTGTGAGCAACTTACACCGTTCCTTGTACATGCAGGAGAGTTTCTGGATTCTCTCTACACGGAGGACTGCTTGTTTGCTGATCCTACTATTCAGTTCTCAGGTGTGTGTACAAGGATCTACTTTACATGCTAGTGTGAATATAATTTTTATGTACAAGGCTTTGGAGACAATTATCAGAATCGTCAGTGATTCAGCAGCTGGAATAGTTAAAGATTGCATGCGTGAAAAACTGATGTTTCCTCATATGCTTTCACCTTATCAATAAAAACAAGGGTTCAATCTATTAGATGCCGTATTTTTTATTATGAAGGTTATGACAGTCTGTTCGGTTTTGTGCAAACACGCAGGACGAGATTTGTATAGACGTAATTTAAAATTGCTGGTCCCTTTCTATGAGGATCCTTCACTCACCCTTGAAAGTATCCAGCAGGTATCTCAATTTGGCACATACCTTAGCTTCTTTTCTGTCCCTCAGAGTATGATCAGACTTTCATTTGGTCTTGATTCTATACGACCGCCAATTGAAGTGGTCCATGACATCTGAATAATTTGGACCACTCACTAATCAGGATCTAGAGAAAATCCTCTTGCGATCTAATCGATCAAATCTCCGTTGGATACTAATCAACTATTGAGTCAGTCTGGATTAATATTTAAATTTGAGCATCATTGCTGCTCCTCAGGTCCAGAATTGCAAAACTAGCTATCACTAGCTTGTAGGAGATCCCTGAGCTGAGTTAGGGATAAGCTCTTCTTCTCTTTAGGATAGGTTTCAGTCTTTTCCATGCCAGATGGTTTTTAAAGCCTGCTCTTGGTGTTCAGGACGAAGATGGTGACTCAAAGTTCGTCGAAACTTCTTGGAAATTGAGGTAATTATCCATCGTACCTGTACTCAATTTGTCAACCTAACGTGTGTCATTAGGTTGTCCCAGAGAAATGCACAGAAATTTTCAACTCGCTGAACTGTTTCTCTGGCTCTCTCTGTTTGCCTGGTTTCGTGTGCTCAACAGAGTTTATATAAAACTACCTTGGAGACCCTTCATTGCTGTGGATGGTCGCACCAAGTACAGCTTGAATGCCGAAAATAAAGTGAGCATCTGCTTCAGTTACCATATTTCCATCTTAGTTCGACTGTGACCTCCTCGTTGTCGAACGTTCTGTCCTCAGCCTGCATTCATGTATATTTATTTTTAATCCCAGACAACAGCTGTCCGTCTAGACTATGGGTTTTACGTTGTGGTGTTATGTTCTTGAGTTTTCTCTTTTGCTCCACCAAATTTTGAAAGCGACTGTTACTCCTTATTCTGAAGGAACTCATCATGGCTTCTGTGTTTCAGATCGTGGAGCACGTAGAGAGCTGGAATGTGACAGCGATAGAAGCCTTGGGGCAGATTTTTAAGCCCTCCGAGAGGGCACTTTGGAAGACCTCCAAAAGTTAACTTTACTAGAAGTCGCGCTGAAGGTAGTCGAGCCTATTCCCTTACTTCGAGGTGCGCGAGGTGTTGATTTGCCGTTGAGAAAGATGGTTCTGATTTCTGCTTTTTAAAAGTGCTGATCTAATATTCTAGGTGCCAGGCCGTAACATGCAGAATTGCCTCACACGCATGAAGCATGTGCGAGTAGCATGACAATCGTCAGTTGTACCGTTGTAAATGGTCAAAGCAAAAGTGCAAGCACAAAGCGTGTCATGAGGCTGTTGTAAGTGGACTGGTCATATTAAATCTTGGACCTTTCGGTTTAGAGGGTCCAATATTGCATGAGAAGCTTCAAATTGACAACATTTCAGTTCACCGTAAGGCGTAGAGTAACATTGGGTAGTATTATCCCAGATCTCAGCCACGGACCGACCACTAACTTAAAGAAGGCTTGAGCAATTTCTGGATAAAGAAGTGGAGGTACAGTCAATGTTTCCTGATCTGGAGAAGACGCACTAGTACTTCAGCATCTTCCGATATTACGTAGTGGTGTACCTCGGATAGTACAGTGCAGACTTTACCTCCGAGGGAGACTCATATTCTGCGGCTCTGCATGCTGATTTAATCACATGAGAATTTTGTTTAGAAAGGACGTACAGGACTTCCTACTGATCAGGGTTCAAGTCTGGAAGAGAGTACAGTACCCTAGACTTCTTCGGGCTATCTTCATTCATTGGCAATGTGACGAGCAATTCGGAACACTTAATGAAGAAGGAACCTGCATGTTACTTAATGAGCTCTTGCCATATGCAGATCCATTGCAGAACCGAACTTGAGAAGCTTGTCATGAGCTGTTGTACTGCGACTGCCTGCCTGCCTGCCTGCCTGCCTCCTTTATATTCTTCAACTCAACGCACGACGTCTTTTTCAGGGAAGAAACTCCGCACAAAGCACATTCAGTACAATGTCAAATTCTGGTCCTTTCCTGCCTTCGGAGCACATCTTGCATTGCATGCGGAAACGTACCGGAGTGTGCTTTGAAAGCTATGGTTTCATATCGGAGCATGCACATCTGCGGACGTACCGCCAGTGAGCTATCCGTCACCTCACAAGGCCATATCTTACAGAGCAGCAGCAGCAGGCACGCACGCCCGCCCCGCTCCTGAAGTCAAGAGGACGCCGAAGCAGTACCTCGACTGTCCGGTGCGGCAGCGATGGATCTATCGATCGATCTTAAAGACGCTACATTCTTTGTCGTTTCCGGACGCAGCACAGAACAGACGTGTGACATGTCTGTTCTGTGCATCATGTCACATGTCTCATGCATTGAGCTCAGCTTCTTTGACCTGTCAGACTCAAGTGCCTGTAAGCGTGGCTCCTTCACCGACAGACTCAGCTGGTTGTTTTTGGTCGTTTATGATCTGCTTTTCCTCTGGTTGTCTCCTTCAGGCAAGCATTGGTAGGCTTCTGGCCTGTGGCGGATAATAGAAGGGTTGTATCTAAGGCGACCCGAGCATGGAACGTCCATGTGATTGCATACAGTTATGGTTGGAATGGTTAGAACAGAGTCGCTTCCGTGCACTTCATACTCATCGTCAACAATTGAATCATAACATACTGTAAAAGTCTTGAATGACTATTTAAGCTGTACTTTTGAAATATCTAGCAGTTGATCACATGAAAACAAAACCATAGATGAAGCATTAATAAGATCAATATGAGTTGTAATTAAAATTTCAAACATAGTAATTAATCAAAGACAAATTTTTAGATTTAATTTTAAATAAAGTTTAAATAAGGAACTAGAAGATAAATTTAAAAATATTAAAAAAATAATCATTAAATTCTTTATTTTTCAAAATTTTTTTAAATTGCAGAAAATAGCTGAAATAAAAAAAATAATTTTCATCATCTTAAATATATACAAGAATTTTACCTATTATAAAATATAAAATTATCCTTTTTAAATATGATCATTGTGAATACCTAATTGGCAATATAGAATTTTCTGTGACAAATATTTAAATCTCGTTAATTTTTTTATTCAATGATTTTAATTGGATCACGAAATCTTCGTATTGACAATGTTTGGAGATATTTATCAATGTGAATATTATTCACAAATAACAATGATTTTATAAGTTTGAGATAACTAAAATCAAATTTGTAAGTCTCAATGAAGAAGTTGTTTGACAAAGACAAACAAGCATTCCAAACAAGCAGAACAAAAAAAATTCAATGTGATAGCAGATGCATCAAAAAATACATGCAATGCACAAATGAGATAAAGTTAGAATCAACGCATGACCTATGTTTACCCGCAACATATAAACAATATCAAGCCAGAAATTGAACACTAAAAAAGCTTTGATAAAAATGTTTTGCAAACAAACTCCAATGCATGTTGACATGTAAACAAGTTTAGGAGCAAAAGTTCCCAAGTGAATGAGATCAGGCAAAAATCAATGCACTAAGATATTTGACATGGCAAATGACATATGAGCAATGTTGAGTAGCAACAAACAACATCTGACCAGTATCAAATGTCAATCTACATGGGAAGAATTTCGAAAGTGAGAAAAGGTCTGTTAAGCATATAAAGTAGACTATGATTTAATTATCTTAAATTTCAAAACTAAAACATCGCAACTAGAAAAATAAAGTCAATCTTTACTTCACATTCATTCATCATTCTCTTCTTGTGAAAAAAAATTTCAGCCGACTATGATGTGGTACTATCATATGCATGTATTGGTGAAATTGTATTGTAAATTACGAAAGAGATTTATGTTCTTGTAGATTTTTTAATAATATTAATGGCAGGTTAGGAATTATGTAGATTTTACATGTAATTGTGGATGAATTTGCAATCTCAGTTATATAATTTTTATTAAAATAGAATAAAATCAAGTCACAGATTACAATGTAAAAAGTAATGGATTCAATAATCACATTTAGATTGTCTATTACTTGATGCATAAAACTATCATCAAAATGATATAAAAATCGAACACATGAATGATTTTGATAGAAATTTCAAATATTAATCTCAAAAAATTAAGTCAATTTTATTATGTAGATAATTCATCAATTTTAATCTTATTTCCACATCACCAATTTTTTACAATGTATTCACTTTGTTTACATTGTCAAATATTTTAACAACAACATATGGATGACAATGTCATAAACATATTTTTGCGTATCAATTAATATAATCATGATACATTTCATAATCTTTTTTAACTTAAGCATGACAACACAAAACTAGATTCAAATCAAAGCAAGAAAAATAAATGTTAAAAAATCATAAATTTGTATGACTTTGTAGTTTTTTGTTTTCATTTTAGTTTAAAATTCTGTCTGTCAATAAAGAATTCAAAGTTGTAAACATCTTTGTGAGTAATTTATTATTCACTTGAAATTTGATTAAATTTTTTAGAATGTAGAATGTCTAGAAAAAAAATTAAATTAATTTTTTTTTAAGGAAAGAGATTTTTTGAAAGAATCAATTCTAAGTTTTTATTAAAAACTAGAATGAAATGTTTATATTTTTTTGTTTTCAAGTTATAAATCATCTAGCAAGAACATTTGTGCAATTAAATTCAATCTGTAATTGCAAGAATATTTTTGCAATATATTTGATATATAAGAACTATGAAAAATTTTAAATTTTTTTCAATTAAAATTTTGAATCTGATGTATAATCTAAACGTAAAAGCAAGAAACTAATTGACACAGCCAAGCCAACACTAGAGACATGAGAGACACAATTGTATAATGTGGTTCATCCTCAAGAGCTACGTCCATGGCAAGAACAACATCGTAATATTATACTGAAAATTCTATCCACTAATACACAAAACCTGGATATATTTATCCAACATCGAAATTCAATCTTAGCTATAAATAGCTAAACATGTAATTACTCCTTAACCAGAGTTAATATCAACAACGTCCACCTAAACTCATGTTAAAGAAATAGTAAACTCTATACCTATATTATCACTTCACGAGAAGTTTTAGACAGAAATCTAACACAAGGATACTCTTTAAACAATAGTGAACTAGAACTAAGCTATAGCAATCACATGATAGAGTAATAACATAAAGAGATAACTAAACAAACCTACTAGCATAGAGGGAACACAAATTTCCTAACCTCTATAATTACTCCGCGTAAAGTTCTAGAAAGATACCTAATACAAGACCCCTTTTTAAACAAGAGTTAACTAGAACTAAGCCGTAGCCATCACCGGATTGAGTAATTATATAAAGAATACACTAAAGATACTATGCTAATAAACTTTACATGTGCTCCTCATGTACAACCTGCATAGTAGCACCATATTGCATGAATGTCTACAAAGTAATAACTTTGATCAATGTATCACTTGGATAAAATTTATCGTCAATCTTAACTAATTCAATCATCAGTGTTTTACGTCAAGATTGACTTGCTCAATCACCAGAGTCTATCGTCAATCTTGACTAGCTCAATCATCAAAGTTTAACATCAAGATTGATTAGCTCAATCACAAAAATCTAACATACATCTTGATTAGTTCAATCACGTGTTCAAAATTCCACAAGTATCAATGTTCTTTCTTGATCATTAATCACATAATGATCAAACTTTCCCACAACCATATCCGTGACTTGAAGTTGTTCCCTTGTCAATATAGAGAGTCTAAGAACTCTTTCCCTTTTTCAATAATCTAGATCCATTACTAACAACATCTTTACTGACAAGAAACTACATGCTATTAAATCCCATAGCTTGTAGGTAACAAGTACTTTTGATCTTGTCTCTTAGATCAAGATTCTCTGACTTATCTTGTGGAATTTTTGTCTGTCAAATACCCTAGATACAAAAATAGTTTCCGCAATGATTTACTCCTTCTAAGTCATCTGTCAACTCCTGAAAATGATGATGATGTACTGTAAATAAAATGTAGATGCACTAGTCGTGCCAAGAGCTTCGTCAGACGATGCCAAATTTGCCTATATTTTGACGAAGATTCTCGCAGACAAAATATTTACAAATGCAATATTCCATCATCGTCGTTTCCAACCTGTAAGACAAGATTTTGTATGTGTGAAATAGAACTAGAAGTAACCAAGAGTTAATCATGGTTAGTTTAGTTATAACTAAGTTCATCAAGTTGTAACTAAGTTTAGCTATAATGAGTATACTTGGAGTAATAACTAAAGAAAAGCTAAAAGATTTGAGTGAAAACTTCTATTTTGTTTGTGTAAAAGTTTAGATTCCAAGAAAAAGTACTTTTGACTTCATGTTTAGTTTTGATTGATTTGGCTAAGTAATGAGAACTTCATTCATTAGACTAAGTCTAATGTTGACTTAGTGGCAAATGGAGGTTCTAGAAGTTGAAAAGACACAAATGACATGTTTCCATATGAATCTAGAGATTAGTAAACATCTAGAATGTTTAAGAGATCAATGTTTTATTGATACGTATTGGTAAGTAGTCAAACTTACTATGCTTTATCTTTGTAAAAGTAAGTTAGATATAAAAAATCATTTGTTAATATGATAACTTTTCAACTAGTATATATAGAGGTAGAAAAGAGACTGTCAAGCAAGTTTAAAAAGTTTGTGTGTAGGAACTTATTTCATATACAAAAGAGCGATGTTTTTACAGCATCTTGAGAGTCGATGTGTGGATGAATTTGAGTGATGAAATGAGTAAATGTGTGATAGTGTGTTTGAAATTTGACTATGAGTAATAATCATAGTCTTTTGGAACCATGATGAGCTACCGTAAAGCCATATAAAGTAAACCTGAGTGAGAGTCAGCGCGAAGGTTCCAATGATAACCGGATTTATTTTTCACTTGGTGCGACAAAAAATTTTAATCACAAAAATGCAAATAACGTGGCTTTGACTTATCAATCAATGACTATCTACAAAGAGGTTGATTAAGTGATTCAAGATTTATCGGGATCTCATTTGCTTTTGCACATCAAGTTTAAACAACCAACTTCGGCTTCATGTCGCCTGTAGCGGGAGAATCTGCTTGCTACGCATCATTTCATCTCAAAAACAACAATTACTTTTTGCTCGATTCAAAATTAACGATGTTAATAGATCAACAAAAAACTGCCTTGGATGCTTTTGTGTACTCTTTCATTGATGATGTTGATTTTATTGGATTGCTTAGTCTTGACGCTATTGCAAATCTAGACGTCTTGAGATACGTCATCAACAGACGTTATGCCGTTCCGTTGTCTTCGGTTTGAGAGTTCGTAAGCAACAAGACTTTTTTGACTGACTCTGTTAATGACAAAGTCAACAAGGCCAATGTAGCAAACTTTGAAAGTACATTGCTTCTATTTATGTCACCGCCCACGATCAAATTAGCGAAATGTACGCCCTTC